TTGCCTAATGCAAGACATCATTAGATTTCTTGACTGCTGCTTCCATGAGTGTTGATAGTTGATCCAAAAAGAATGAAGTCCTTGATAACTTCAATCTTTTCTCCATTGATAAGAATGTTGTTTATTGCTCCAGTGGTGAGGATTTTTGTTTTCTTGACATTGAGATGTAATCCATATTGAAGGCTGTGCTCTTTGATCTTCATCAGTAAATATTTTAAGTCCTCTTCACTTTCAGCAAGCATGTTTGTATCATCTGCATATTGCAGGTTGTTAATGAGTCTTCCTCCAAATCTGATGCCACATTTTTCTTCTTAGAACCCAGCTTCTCAGATTATTTGCTCAGCATACAGGTTGAATCACTATGGTTAAAGAATACAACCTTGCCGCATACCTTTCTTTATTTTAAACCATTCTTCAAATAGTTCATGCTATATTCACTACTCTTTGCCAATACCATAATGTGAAGTCATCAATTTTTCTTTGGTCATCCTTATTCATTGTCCAGTTTTCACACGACAAATTTGTTGTTGTTAAGTGCCATGGAGTAGATTCCAATATATAGTGACCCTGTGTACGGTTTCCAAGTAGCAACTTATGCTCATGATAAAAGGTGACCAAAAATCCAAGGCTTGGGTCCAGTACACCTTAGTCTTCAAAGTGACATCTTTGCTTCTTTACACTTTAAAGAGGACTTTGCAGCAGATTTGCCCAATGCAACACGCTTTATTTGACTGCTGCTTCCATGGGAATTGATTGTGGATCCAAACAAGACTAATTCCTTTATATCTTCAATTTTTTTTCCATGTACCACAATGTTACGTATTGGTCCAGTTCTGAGGATTTTTGCTTTCTTTATATTGAGGTGTAATCCATATTGAAAGTTGTAGTCTTTGCCCTTCATCAGTAAGTGCTTTAAGTCCTTTTCACTTTCAGCAAGTAAAAATGTGTCATCTGCATGTTAAAACTTGTTAAAAAGTTTTCCTCTAATTCTAATACCATGTTCTTCATGTAACCCAGCTTACTGTATTATTTTCTCAGTATATAAATTGAATAAGTATGGGGAAAGGACACAACCCTGACACATACCTTTCCTTATTGTAAAGCAAACAAAATCCCCTTGTATGGTTCAAAAGATTTCCTCTCAGTCTATTTACAGGTTCCACATGAGCACAAAGTCAGTGTTTTGGAATTTCCATTCTTTGCAATGTTATCCATAATTTGTCATGATCCATATGGTCAAATGCCTTTGCATTGTTAATAAAACCCAGGTAGACATTTTTCTGATATTTCCTATTTTCCGCCAAGAGCCATCTAATAACAGCAATGATATTCCTTGTACTTCAACCTCTTCTAAATCCAGCTTGAATTTCTGGTATCTCCCTGTTGACATACTGCTATGGTTGTTTTTAAAATTATTTTCAGTAAAATTTTACTTGTGAGTGATGTTGATAGATATTGTATGATGATTTCCACATTCTGTTTGTTCACATTTGTTTAGAATGGGCATCTCTTCCAGTAACTGTGAATTCCTTTTGTCTTATTTTAGGCTTCAAACATCATTTAATATTTTGCCCATACAATTCTTCAATATTGCAACTCGAGGCTTCAATTATTTCTTCAGTTCTTTCAGCTTGAGAAATGCCAAACATGTTCTTCTCTTTTGTTTCCTAACTCCATTTCATTATAATATTTTACTTTGTCTTCTAAAGCCCCCCTTTGAAATTTTCTGTTCAACTCATCTTTACTTCATCATTTCTTCTGTTTGCTTTAGTCACTCTACATTCGAGAGCAAGTTTCAGAGTCTCTTCTGACACCCATTGAGGTCTTCTCCTTCTTTCTTCATGACATCCTTGATATCATCCAACAATGGATCTTGTCTTTAGTTATTAGTGTTCAAAGTGTCGGGGTCATGTTCATTTTGCCATTGTTAAATGCTGTCAAGTCAGTGCCAATTCATATCACTGGGCTCCACAAATGTTTTTACTAGTCTTGGTTGTATGATTTTAAATTCATGCAGGACTCTTCCTGTGGTTCATAGTGAGGTGCTTGGAGTGCCCTGAGCTCTTAATCTGCCATGAGCTAGTTATTGTCCCCTGATACAATGGGCAGATTCTAAAGGGCTCACTGTGTAATGGTTCATTGTGGAAGAAGTAGCAAGCTGAGTAATGGTCTATACTGAATGATTTCCTGAATAACTTGTCAGTGCAAACAGGGCTGGAGAAAGGGCAGGAAAAGGAAGAAAAAAATTAATTGGTTCTATTCCATAGAAGAATTGTGAAATTAGCTCATTTTAAAAAAATGTACTTATTTGGCATTTGTTCATTGTTGTTAAGTGCTGTTGAGTTGGTTCTGACCAATAGCGACAACAGAAAGAAGTACCACCCAGTCATGCACCATCCTCACAATTGCTGCTATGCTTGAGTCCATTGTTGCTTCCACTATGACTATCCATCTCAGTGGGGGTCCCTCTCTTTTGCAATCTCTCCACTTGACCAAGCATAATGTCTTTCTCCAGCCACTGGTCCCTCCTGACAATATGTTCAAAGTATGAGAAACAAAGTCTGGTCATTTGACTTCTAAGGAACATTCTAGTTGTACTTCTTCCATAACAGATTTGTTTGCTCTTCTGGCAGTCCATGGTATTTTTAATATTCCTCTCTAACACCATAACTCAAATGCATCAGTTATTCTACGGTATTCCTTATACATTGTCTAAGTTTCACATGCATATGAAGCTATTGAAAATACTATGGCTTGAGTCAAGTGCACCTTAATCCTCAAACTGATATCTTTGCTCTTAAATAGTTTAGAAAGGTCTTGTACAAAAGATTTGCCTGATGAAATACATCATTTGATTTCTTGACTGCTGCTTCCATGAGTATTGATGGTGCACTAGGAGCTCTGGTAGCATAGTGGTTATGAATCGGGCTGAGAAGCTTAAGGTCAGCAGTTCGAAACTACCAGCCGCTCCGCGGGAGAAAGATGAGGCTTTCTACTCCTGTAAAGATTTACACCCTCAGAAACCCTGTACAGGGTCGCTATGGGTCAGAACTGACTCAACGGCACTTAACAAGTTAAGCAATTATATTATCAAACCCATTTTACCGCTAGGGAAATAAAGTACAAAGAAGTTAAAGTACTTGCTCAAAAGCACACAATTAATAAGTGGTGGAGTCAGAATTTAAACCAGTGGCTCAAAGATTTTAAAATACAACCTTAAGATTTAAAATAACTGTGACAATACAACATAAAGAATACCAAAACGAAATTTTTCAAGGGAAAATGTGTTACAAGATAGCTGTTAAACATTTAAAATAAATGACAACTGCAGCATTTTAAAGATCTGCTCTTTTTTCTTGCCCAGAGTCTCTGAACCTGACAAATAGCCCAGCTACCCAAGGACAGCATAAGTATCGCATTCCATTCACCTCCTTCTTTCCTGCCTTCTAGGAACCTCCTTCCTACTGATAAGACCGTGTGCCTGGAGTTACAGAATATTTTTATGAACTCATTGAGAAAATATGAGCTGTAATGAATTATTTGGATTGTTTTATAATCATTCCACAGATATCAGAAGTCTGAAAGATACAGATTTCCACTGTGTGATATAAAACTAGATTTTTATTTATTGATCATTGGTGATTTATTATCCCCTTAAATTCCAATTGCTTATACATTTTTTGATTTTTCAGTTTAAGTAAGGATGCTTAACCCCAGTAATATATACCACATTTCTTATTTATTCAAGATGCATACTTAGGACACACTCAAGGAAGAATTTGGGTAGCTTTTAAGACTGGGACAATGAGGGCAAATGATGGTTCATTGGTAGAACTTTTCGATTTCCAAGAAAGAGACTTTGAGTTTGATTATCTGCAAATACACAATGGTCCAGTCCCCAGCCTACCAGGGAGATGATGTCAGACTGGGCATCATTTTGTCCCTTTTGCATGGGGCAAGGGCGACTCAGTGGCAGCTAACAAAGGGCAGCTAGCAACTATAACAAGGCAGGGACAAATTACTAGAAAGAGATTTAAATAGTCTCATTCAGAGATAAAACAAAAACCTGATTGTAAACATATCTGGAAAAATGTATTCAATTCAGATGGCTGTCTGAAGTGCCTTCCTTCTCATTCTTGTTTATTTTTATATTTTATCTATTAGCAGTTGTTGTTTTGTTTTTTTTAATCCAAAGGGGGTCTTGGAGGTGCAGTAGTTAAATACTGACTGCTAACTAAAAGGTCTGTGGTTCAAACCCCCCAGTAGCTCCCCTAAAGAAAAGAACTGGTGATCTGCTGCTATTAAGATTGTTAAAAACAGTGCCGACAAGTCTGCTCTAACCCACAGTGACCCTGTAAAGAGTTTCCGAGGAGCAGATGGTGAAATTGAACTGCCGACCTTGCAGTACAAATTGACAGCCTAGGAAATTATAGGTCAGTTCAACTCTGTCATATAGAGTCATTATAGTCAGAATCTATTTAACAGTGCACAACAACAAAACAACAGCAATTTATTATCCACTTCCTTTCACAAAGGACTTTTGGCAATTCCAATTCATGGAATTTCTAGCAATTGGACAATTTCCATTATTTTTGTCTCCTCATCATGCCACCAATCAGTATTTAGCTGATCATTTTATATTAACACTGAAGCTAACTGTCAATTTCTCAATGGCCAACCTTTACAACAAGTAGGGAAACAAAACAAACTGTTTTGTTGTGACCCTGGTGGCTTTAATAAAAATACTAGCTCTGATGCTAGTCAGCTATGCCTACACTTAGTCCATCATTCATTCTCTTGTATGGAAAGTCATTTCATTCTGATGGGAGAGAAAAGTCTCTGCAGTCATATGAGGAAGTAGAAATCTTTTACAGAGAATGCATCATATGGATTTTATATTTTTCCACTTTTTCCTTCTTTTATTATTTTTGCTTAACATGCACAAACAGGGAAAAGGCACTGAAGTGGTACACAATGGACTTTCTTTGACTGTTTTCCAGAGTGGAAATAGAATTCTATGTTCCATCATCCTGAGCCACCACCAAGGCCCTTCCATCATCAACTATGACGATGAGAGTGGGAAGACATGCGTGCACATCGCCGCAGCCGCAGGATTTGTGGACATCATTCATGAACTGGCGAGAGTCCCTGAGTGTAACCTACAGGCTCTGGATGTGGATGACAGGTATCCATGACGCCATCTCCATATTTTAATCTTAAAATAAAGATGTAAGGCATGATCACATACAACTGCATATCCCCAATGGCAGTAACATTTACACATGTGCTTGTGACCATAAAAACTGCTCTATTATCATCAGGACAGAAAAATCAGTGTAATTCTTACAATCGAGACCCTGTGACTCCACAGGACTGTCTGATTTCTACTTTCTGCTAAGTCTTCTGTATGTTCTTAGGGAGTTTCTGTATGCCAGCTTCCTGTTATACAAACTTTTGTTCTTGACAGTAGGTTTTATTTTGTTTCTTCATCACTGAATTATATCATAAAATCAACAAGGTCTTGTTATCTAGAGAAGGGCGCAATAGAGGCTTTGTAGTCACAAGTACTGGGCTTGTAGAACTGGAAAGGTTCTGGTCATGTTTTATTTCTCTATCACTAAAAAAGGAAGCTATGCTTGAAAAGGTAAAAGGACCTACCTCAGAACTAGTTAGTTAGTAATTAAATGAAAACTTGACCCAATTCCACTTACCATATCCTGCTTATCTAACCTGTGCTTTGGTTAGGCATTGATTCGATGGCAGTATAAGAACAAAATAATGAACAAGACTATTGAAAATAAGTATAAGGCTTACCCATACCATGTATGATATATTCCACCCTTTCCTATTAAAGTGTAAAATTGACCACCTAGTTATTATAATCTTGGAGTCCTTGAAGCTGCCATGGGTCAGAATCAACACAACTACAGGGAGTTAGTGGTATTTGTTTGTTTGCTTGCTTTGTGTGAGTGGTACAAACTGTCAGTTACTTCCTTGTTGACTGAAAAATTAGCAGTTAGACTCCAACCACAGGTGCCTTAAAAGAAAGGCCAGACAATCTACTTCTGAAAAATAGGTCATTTAAAAACCTATGGAGAGGGGAAGATCCTGTGGAGCACATTTCTACTCCGACACACATGGAGTGGCCACCAACTTCATGGCACCTGGGTTTCAATCATGGTTTTTCATACCCCAAGAATGCACCTCCTACTCCCCAATGCCTGAAATTGTTTTAATATAGCAAAAAACAAACAAACAAAACTTCATTGGTTTCATGTAACTCAGAAGCTGGAAATAGTTACATTAACATAAAAGTATAAATTATTCAAAGTCCATCTATTCCTAAAGTAAGTATTGATACTAAGGAGATAAGAAAGTGAAGAACTTTAGTAACATGAGGAAAAAAGATAAACAATACATAAGGAGAAGAAAGAAATTTTAAACAGGAGCACTGTGGAAAAGTTTGTCTACTTCAAAATACTCCTAGAACCAGCTCTGAATATAGATGATTTTCTGTATTACCCTACCACACACTTAACAAAGAAATTCTAGCTCTTCGGATCTCAGAGAAAGCAAAGCCAAACAGGAAAAAAAAAAAAAAAAAGAGGGGGATGCTCCTATAAAGAGCTCTAGAGGTGTTGTAGGGTAAACACTGGACTGCTAACCAGGAGATCAGCATTTTAAATACACCAGCCATTCTGTGAGATAAAGATGAAGTTTTCTGCTCCTGTGAAGATTTCTAGCCTCAAACACTCTATATAGGTTTGCTATTGTCAGGAATAAACTTAATGACAGTAGGCTTTTTGATTTGGTTACAAAAGCTCAAATCAGAAGAAATATTCTTAGGACAGTCTAGTTCCAGCTCCAGTATTTAAGTATTTCTTGTATTGATCAAATCATACTCCATTTGGCTTCACAGTTTCTACATTTTGCAGCTATGCCTTCATGTTGAAACTGTAAAATTGTGTGAGTGGTGGTGTTGTCATTAAAGACCATTGAGGAGCAGCGCGCACGGGAAGCCGGAGAGGCGGAAAGGATGGCGTTCTGACAGCCGTGCTGGAGCCCTCGGCTTCCCCACCCCGCGGGCCCGGCCCGCGCCTCGGCCGCTCAGCCCTGCGAGATGGAGCCCACAGCCTACCCTCTCAAGTTGACTCTAAAGGAAGAGGAAGAAGAAGAAAAGATTCAGAGCCAGGAACTGGAGGATGGCCATTCAGATATGCAGAAAGTGCGAATCTGCTCAGAGGGTGGATGGCCAGCCAAACACTTGCACCTTAAGAAGCCAAATTGATGGAGAATATCCGTGCCCCACCTCCAAAGATCCCAGAGAGTGGAATCCTGGAATCAAGCCCCCTTCCCCATAGACTGAGGGTCTCTGGAGGTGCCAGCCCTGTTTGATGAGGTGGCCATATATTTTTCCGTTGAGGAGTGGGACGTTTTGACGGAACAACAAAAGGCGCTCTACCGTGAAGTCATGCGAATGAATTATGAAACTGTCCTCTCCCTGGAATTGCCATTCCCTAAGCCAGACATGATCACTCGACTGGAAGGGGAGGAAAAGTCTCAGAAATCCAAAGAGTGGCAGCTCCACGGAGGAACCTTTGCAGAAAACGAAGACTCTGATGTGAAGCCTCCAGATTGGGCAGGCCCAGTGAACGCCACCTCCCCATTTCCTCGCACCTCACCTTCGCACCTCGACAACTTTGGCCTCCGCCTGCCTCGGGATCTCACAGAGCTGCCCGAGTGGAGCGAGGGCTACCCCTTCTACATGGCCATGGGCTTCCCAGGCTACGACCTCTCAGCTGATGACATCGCTGCCAAGTTTCAATTCAGCCGGGGCATGCGCCGCAGCTATAATGCAGGGTTCAAATTAATGGTGGTGGAATACGCTGAGAACACCAACAACTGTCAGGCTGCCAAGCAGTTCGGAGTGCTGGAGAAAAACGTCCGTGACTGGCGCAAAGTAAAGCCACAGCTCCAAAACGCCCACGCCATGAGGCGGGCATTCCGGGGCCCCAAGAATGGGAGGTTTGCTCTGGTGGACCCGCGTGTGGCTGAATATGTCAGATACATGCAGGCTAAAGGGGACCTTATCACCAGGGAGGCAATGCAGATGAAAGCGCTAGAAATTGCCCAGGAATTGAACATTCCAGAGAAAGGATTCAAAGCAAGCCTGGGTTGGTGTCGAAGAATGATGAGAAGGTATGACCTGTCTTTGAGGCACAAAGTGCCCGTGCCGCAGCATCTGCCTGAGGACCTGACTGAGAAGCTTATCACTTAGAGTGTCCTGGCCCTGCGGAGGCCCCATAAGTATGAGGTGGCCCAGATGGGGAATGCATATGAGACTCCAATATGATTAGAGGTGCCGTCACGCGTGACCGTGGACAACCAGGGCGGAAAGCCCGTATTGGTCAAGACGCCTGGCAGGGAAAAACTGAAAATCACAGTAATGCTTGGCGTCTTGGCTGACGGGCGGAAGTTACCTCCATACATCATTTTGAAGGGGACATACATTCCCCCTGGAAAGTTCCCCAGTGGGATGGAAATCCGCTGCCACCGGTATGGATGGATGACAGAGGACTTGATGCAGGATTGGTTGGAAGTGGTGTGGAAACGGAGGACTGGCGCCATGGCCAGGCAGCGAGGGATGCTGATTCTGAATGGCTTCCGGGGCCACGCCACTGACGCGGTGAAGAGCTCCATGGACAGCATGAACACGGATATGCTTATCATCCCTAGGGGCCTGACCTCCCAGCTGCAGGTGCTGGATGTGGTGGTCTATAAACCGCTGAACGACAGTGTACGGGCCCAGTACTCCAACTGGCTGCTGGCTGGGAACCTGGCACTGAGCCCAACTGGGAATGCCAAGAAGCCACCCCTCGGCCTCTTCCTGGAATGGGTCATGGTGGCGTGGAATAGCATCTCAAGTGAGTCCATCGTGCAAGGGTTCAGGAAGTGCCACATCTCCAGCAACTTGGAAGATGAAGACGACATCCTGTGGGAAATCGAGAGTGATTTGCCAGGAGAAGGGGAACCACCAAAAGAGTGTGATGCTGAAAGCATGAGCGAGAGCAACTGAAGGTGCCGTTAAGGCAAAAAGAACTGTGATGACAACATTTTGGGAGGAAAATCCTCTGGCAGACTGCTGGCCGTGTGAGTGCAGAGGGAAAGGCAGGAAATGGCCGTGCTGCTCCCAACAGCCTGAGTCTGGACAGCAACCTGTGCTTCCTCTCTTGGGGACACTGCCTGGCCCCACACAGTCTAGGACACTTGGTCATCCGAAATGTGGTTAAAGAAGAAACTGCTTCTGCCCCTTTTCTTGATTTAGAGATTACTGTAAATAGGATTGAACGAAGGTGTTTCCTGGAAAAGAGACTGTTCGCTCAACACCAAGAGACTCACTGATAGGCACAACGCTGCTGGTGTCCCTTCTGTGCAGAAAACCTCAGCGTTTTATTCTGCCTTCAAAGATGCTTCCAAGAGTAGATGCTGCACTCACACAGCTCAAGAATACAGAGAAGGCTCTGCAGAAATGCTGTGTTGTCACACATGTACACCCGCTACTTATACATTTCCTCTTCTGCGGAGAACAAAAAAAAATAATAAAATGAAATACTAATGATAATAACAAATTAAGACATACTGGCCTGGTGTCAGCGGATGGCTTTTCTATAGACAGACTAGGTTAAAATAAACTATGCTCTTTTATTTATCTTCCCAATCTGGTTGGCAGCTAGACTTTTTTAGGTTCTTGTCTAATGGGCACCCCCCTTTTATGTTGTTGGTTTTTTTTTTTTCATTATATTGAATGCTAGGGCAGCATTTAGTACATAAGCTTTTCTGTTTCTCAGGCTGCCTACGAAAGAAGTCACCATAAATTATCTGTTGTCTACTTTGGTACGGACCCGACTCGATGGCACTTAACAACAACAACAACAACTTTGGTACAAGGCCCATTGAGTCATCAGATACATGTTATTTCTTTAATAATATTTTTATCACAAGGGTGGTGGGAGGGCTTGGACCTTTGGCCACAGCTATTTCAGGACTTTTAATCTACCCTGCTGCATATAGGTTGGGGGAGGGGGCATTGGATTTTTACACTATAATTATTTGCATTCCCACATAAGTCGAGTGTTAAGAAAACATTCCTTCAAAACAATCTGCTACAAAAATATGCCAGAACCT